TTGCTGCATGTCACTCCCCCTCTTTCTCCCCCCTTCACACTTGTCTGTCCTATCAAATAAATGCCCCCAAAAAATATTAAAAAAAAGAACAAGTTGTTTTCCTCACACGAATAGAAAGAAGAATCCAAAAAACAGGGAAAATCTTCATGAATTGACGTCATAGGGGTCTGCGTTTAACAACAGCAAGCTGTGTGATGCTAACAGTTAACCCTGTCACTGTGTGTGTGTGACTGTACCAGTCAAAGAAGTTCAGTCCTGTAGAGAGGGGGGCTGAGTGAATGAATACACTGCACACAGCTCTACAATGAAATGATTTCAGTAGTCATAATTTGCAGTAAAGTTGCAGTGATTGATCAAAAAAACAAAGTCACAGAATGCACAGAATCGGCTTAATTTGGGTTAATGGTGATCACAACGTTGCAAAATCCTGGAGGGACTAGGTTTCAGCAAAGCCGCTGGATAAATGAGACTTGGATTATTGTGAGTTATGTGAGAGTTTGCAAAAAGATGTCTTGATATAGTTTTGCTGTTGTTAAATGCAGACCCCCTTTACTTTAATTCTTAAGGAATATGGTCCATTTTTGGATTCGCCATTCATGGCGGAGGCGTGCGAGAAAAGTAACATTTCTAGGAGGAGGGAGTTTTCCTCTGATTCATTTAAGTCATAAAGATTTTTACCATAATGATTTTCAATCAAGTTTTAAGTTCTCATTTTTCCTATATGAATGCAGCGTTTACTGATACACTTATGTAAATATCACAACACAAGGTCTTTTTAATTTCTTGTTTTTGCAACAAATGTATAGACTTTCTTTAATTGTTTTTTTTATGTTGGTATGATTGCAGAGGGGAATTTATACTCTAAACATGATGAAAAATCATGGTTTAAAGTTGATATGAGTTGATAAGTATAGTTTGTACAGACATAAATCTGCAGTTTTGAGTCAACTAATTGTGAGGTGGATGTTTACAGAGCTGTCTACGTTTTATCTTTTACATCTGATGAGTGAAACAATAACCTGAGACACTGATGTAAATGCAGCCAGTGCCCTTCAGTACGTTCAACCTCCATATGGAATAACTTAAAAGATCCACCTGCAATCAGTCCTCTTTGTCAGCTGGACCTCGAACACCTAAAAAAGACACAGCTGCACACAGATGAGAATGTGGACAAATAAACAGAATTTGAATTGTTTGCCGGATAGACCAAAACTAAATGTGAATGTAAATAACCTGGTGGTTTTGTCTGTAAATATGTGAAATAAAGACACTATAAGAGGAACTTACAAATCCTTTGATACTTTCTCACACAGCACTTTACTCACAAAACATCTTGCGCTCATCTGGATATCTGAGGTTGTTCCCAGTTTTCATATTTATAGTCAGTTGATCAGTCATGCCAGGGTGTCACCCTCAATCAAGCCGAAGTAAAACAGAAGAGGTGCTTAAAATTAAGTTTAAACATCTACAGTCCCATCACTAAAACTGAGCACACTGCATGCTTTGATGAGGACGGCCTAAAGCTCCAGAACAAGTGAGTCAGCAGACCTTTAGTTGAGATAATTTTGTTGAGAGTCATGCCACGTATGGCCAACAATGAAACCAAGACATACAAATAGACTATGTTTTCAGGCAGTTTTCACAAAAGTATTACTCCTACTGGATACTTGGTTAGTGTTTGTTGTATTTAAAACATGATCATTTATATTTCTTTTGCACATTTCTGCATCCACTAGGAGTAAAAAACAATTTTAAAAAGATGATGTTAATGTTCATTCATTCATTCATTCATTCATCTTCTAACCGCTTCATTCTCTTGAGGGTCGCGGGGGGGCTGGAGCCTATCCCAGCTGACATCAGGCGAGAGGCAGGGTACACCCTGGACAGGTCGCTTTTTTTGCTGACACATAGAGACATACAACCATTTACTCTCACATTCACACCTACGGACAATTTAGAGTTATCAATTAACCTAGTCCCCAATCTGCATGTCTTTGGACTGTGGGAGGAACCCTGAGTGCCGGGAGAGAACCCACGCTGACACGGGGAGAACATGCAAACTCTGCACAGAAAGGCTCCCACACCCAGGATCGAACCGGCAACCCTCTTGCTGTGAGGCGAGAGTGCTAACTACCACACCACCGTGCCGCCCGATGTTAATGTTATTTATTTAAAATTAAAATATTTTTTAATATTTCGATTATCTTAAATTTGCATAACTGATCAACAGACCAGAAAACAACCACAGACACACTAATGAGGGCATTAAAAAATCTGGTGAATAATCCTGGTGTCCTGAAGTATAGTGCAAGAATTGTTTCAAGTTTTAAAGCTCTGCAGTTTGCCAAAAATCAAGTAATTATAACAGCGGGTGATCCGTTAGTAAAAGCCTGGATTATTTAACCTCACTTCAAATGCCTCAGACTAAGGGCACAGTCATAAAAACACTTACTATGTATCAGTCTGGCACTGACTTTAAAGCATGAGAGAAAATGAAACTGATTATACTTTAACTATATTCTCGATGCATTTGATTATAAATTAATTTTTGGATGTTAGTGTGAAAAACAATGCAGCAACATAAGAATGTAGGCATATGCTTATTTAAGCCTTGGAGGTAGATGTGGAAAGTTATCTACAGACGATTACTGTAACCGTTCATTTCTAACCCTTACCCTAACACACAACAAAATTCTATGATTTCTCCAAAACTTTCAATGATTTTTACTACTTAGATGCTTTTTCAAGGGCTTGAAAATTAAATTGTGAAAATCTATGACTTTCCCAGTTTTTCCATGACTTTGTATAAAAAGTTTGTTTGCAAGGAGCCAAACGGTGAGATAATTACAAAGGGTGGCAGAATAAAAGCAACCTTTCCCCTGATCAGTCCTCTTAATATGGTTTATTAAAAGTTACTCATCATTTTAAAGGCTTGTCTGCCACCTGCTGGTGCCCAAAGGCACTCTGTGGGTTCCACTACCCACACTACCATACTACTTAGTATGCCAGAAAAATATTTAGTATGTCTCATCCCATGATATGTCAAATGCGGTATGACAGAAATACCAAGATGGGCGACTGCATGTGGTCACAATTTGCATAATGCAAGCAAACAGGTTTTTCTGGCTATTCTGACTCAAAATATAATCACAGAGGACACAACAAAACAACAACAAACGGACATAACTAGGAAAATACCAACAGAGAAGTGCATATGTATTGCAAATTACTGAGGAGTTACACTAAACACATTACAAAGAAAAGACAGCAGAGAGTTCTGGGCTGACCTCTGTCTCTGGTGAGCTCAACTAATGGTGCTTTGTATCTCCAAGGTTACATTACTTAATACCGTTCAGCAAGGGGGTCAGAGTTCAAGGGGCAGTGTTATCATGAAGTAGTTTGCACACTGCATACAACAGTACATTTTTTTGTAAGGGCGGCTACAGAACATACTGATGATAAAAAGAAAACGTAGGCTATGCAGTTCAGAATGTAGAGTATTTTCAGTATGATAGGGGGGAAACGCCACAACATTTGTTGTGATTGGTCTCAAGTCTTGAAATGAGGTATGGACATACTTTAGTCAAGTATCTAACAGTTTAACTTTAATATTTCTAGATCACATGAAATGTCACACTTGGATCTATGTCAGGATTTTCGCAAAATCTGGAAAAACACCAACACTGTGTCTATTGGCTCATTTATGGCCATAACTGAAATTTTGAATTTCTCAGCACAAATCTGAAGAAAATTTTCAAAATCCGTAAAACCATTATTATTTTGTCTTTAGATGGCTGTTTTTTCTATATATTCCATTTTATGTAAGTAAAAACCGTCGTTCCATGTGCCAACTAAATATAGTATGTTCAGAAAACGCCTGCATCTCAGAAACTACACGCACATTCAAGTATTTTTATATCTGTGAATTCATAACAAGTTGAATATCAAAGATGTGCACACACATGGAGTGTAAAAAAATAAGTAAATACAGCTTGTCCACAGACACTTAGATTTAATGCTTTTTAAGAAAATGTTTAAATTTCAGACCGATTTTTAGACAAATAGTATAAAGGTAGGTCATATATATTTGGTCCCATGCAGAGGTAGGTTTTATGTAGGAATATGGTTATTGTAGAGTTGGGTTCATCTACATTTTTCCAACAGGAAGGGGTCTCAGAGTGGAGGGGAAAGTGGAACTGATTACCCAGGGCCCCAAAGGGAGGGTGGCCCTCCAAAACCCTGAGATGAAAAGTTTGGTTTTGTTTGCATTTTTTATTTCTTATAAATTATTGTGCCATAACTAAATCAAAATTGGTTGAATCAATCAGTTGAAGGACTGAACTTAAAAAAAAAACATAGCAGAAGCTCTCTGTGGCCCCTCTCGTCCCTTAAAGGGCCAAATTGCTTTAGTCGGTCCCTGCCGCTGGATTCGTCTGGAGCCGAGTGAGTGACTGCTTATGCTGCTGGAGCACCAGCTTACACTGTTCTATCTTTCTCCAAGAAAAGGTACCCGGGGATCCGACTAAGAAAAGAAAGGGCAGAAGGAAAGGGAGAGAAAGCAAACTATGAAGCAAAAAAAAATATCAAAAGGTGTGTGAGAGACATGGAAGGCCAGCAGGCCCTACATACTGCTTATGCATTGGTCCCAGAGGCAGTACTAGGTTCAGTGGTAGGCTTAAGGATTTGTAACATTAGAAACATAGACTTTTATGCAGAAGAGCTTCATTTTAACAAAATAAATTAAAAGATGGGTAAATGAAACTAGATAAAATGGTTGTGGCAATTAACACTGCAGAAATTCAAGTTAATGAATATTTAATTAGCCTACCTTTAAAGCCTATCATTTTTAGACTTAAGACCTGCAGACATGAAGCTCAATGCTGCCCTCCAGTGTCTACCTGAAGCACTGCAGGCCCAACCAACAACACCTTGCAGCTCCTCAGAAGAGTGGACACTTCAGACTTCAGCCAGAGTGAAACAAATAATCACATAACACTTGGTAAGTTTTTGATTTTCTTTCTTTTTTGTGGAAATATGTTACAGTTATATTACAGGTATTTAAATGCCCCGAGGGAGAACAAAAACTGTTTTAGAGACTAACACTAAGAAGGAGACAGCAACTTAACTGAGACAGGAACAGTCCCGACCGGATCGACAGACTCAACAGGCAGAGTGGGCGAAACCGCCGCCCCACACTTAACCTATGTTAGGAGACGTCCAATAAATACTGCAAATGTTGTTAACGCAACTTATTAAAATAAAAAAACAAAACAAAACAAAAAACGAGGAAAACAGGTGTGCTCTCCTTCTAGAGTCCTTTGTGGTATTTAGCAGCAAGTGTGTAGCTTCCAGAAACCAAAAACTTGTGAATAACAACGTGCGGGGCCTGCAATCAACCAGAGTCTTTAACACAAGCAAGGACAGATCAGAAATGTGGTGGTTTTAAGATGTGTGTGGAAAAAGTGGGAAAAGTGCTGAATACAAGAACACACAAATGATTAAACAGGTTAACTTACATCCTTGATAATCCAACAGCAAACCAGAGACAGAAGTTCTGTCCTCCACCAGCCACAATGGTTGGTTGACCTCTAAATTCACCATCCTATCAGTTTTATATACGTTTTTAGTATACAATAACATCTTAGAATAATGTGTGGGTGTCTGACAGTGGCTCACAGAGTATAAACATTCAACAGACAAAACTGAAACTTACATTTGGCTGGTGGTGTTAAATTCATGTCCTGCTTCTTGCAGTGAAAGTTATCAAAAATGTTATTGTAAATGTTTATGTTTTAGCATTATGTTGAGGTTGTGTTCTTCAAGAGTCTTTTTCTGTAATTTCTAGTGGTGGAGCAGAATTGACAAAATACAATCTACCTGTGTGAAAATATTCTGGTTGAATGCAGCTCTGCCCCTGCACCATCTTCCATTGGTTTTTAATGTAACTTATAAAATATATCATAAAACGTCTTCTTAAATGGAAACTGAAACGTCCATGTACAAAAAGTTTTCTTTTATATAAATTACACCAGTCTCTGATGATGATGATGATGATGTCTCTGTTCCTGCTAATACAGTTCATCTCTAAGCCAAACCCTTCCCCTCATACATACACACTCACATGCACGCCCGCACATGTGCACACGCACACGCACACACACACACACACACACACACACACACACACACACACACACACACACAAAACGGCGTGCGACCGTGGTCAACACTCCCAACTTAGCTACACAACATGCTCTACACATTACCCATAGTAGAGAAGAAAACAAAAACTATCCGCACTGAAAGGAAATCTCTGAACATACAGTAACGCTACATCTCCTCTTTCTTCTTCACACTGTATCTGTATGCAAGACCACAAGCATGGTGCAGTTTCGGGCGATGGGTAGAGGGTGACTCCTCAGCTTCAGCTGGTGACCCTCACTATCGCCTGTCACTGTAGCTGCCTTGTTCTGGCTCCGCCACTGCAGGTCCCTGGCACGCCCAGATGGATAACGCCCAGATGGATAACGCCCAGCTGGCGGGGCGGGGAATGTGACTGACCGGAGGAGGGGCGAGACCTCAGCAGTCAAACCGCATCTCCAGTGAATCGTCAAAGCCCCTGTTGTCGTGCCCGGCCCCCGATAGGAAGGTGGCCGTGACAGGTGCCCCTGTAGCCGTGGTGACGTTGAGAAGGGTGTTGCCGGGTGAGCTGGTGGCCGGGCTACGGAGGGCTGCTGCGGTGATACTGGTGAGGTTGATGCCCAGCGTAAGACGAGTCTGTTCCAGAGCTTTCTCTGGCACAGCGAAGGCCTCCAGCTTCTTCTCTCCATTGGCCATGTAGGAGTTCTGGCAGCCACGGCAGATACAGTCCAAACACGCCTAGAAAAGCGATCAGAATTAATAACACTGTGATCTAATTAATAATTACAACAACATAAAAGATCATCCAAAGACTGAGTGCATTTACATAGACACAATAACACGTTTATGAGGCTTATCCTGGTTATAATCATATTCAGGCTACGCTGTTTACATGAGCACAGAGAACTACCAACCTGGTTTGGATTTCTGCACTCTATTTGCACAGGCGCTGTGATATTTACAAATAGCAACCACCTGACAACTCAACTCTTTATTTCTTCTCTGCTCTTAACACCTATCACCGTTCTCTCTCAACCACACACACACACTTTGTACTGAGCTAATGCTATTCCTGAAAGAGGCTAAGGTTACACTACTCTTTATACACTGTCCTCTTCGACAGGTATCAACCCATCATTCACCGCATAGGACAGGGGAGCAGTGGATGAAGACGCGCGGCCTCTTCCATTACCGAAAGAAAAAAACACACTGTTTCTTCATCGCTGTAGAAGTGAGATGCTTTTGCTGCTGCCTCTGTTTGTGTTACTGTTCCATGACTTAACTGAAGCCGCGCCTGAGTAGGTGGTCGGCCACGCTCAGTAAGTGGGGTAAGGTGTATACATGCAACAGTATTCTAGTTTCTTTTGGGCAACTCCAGGTGGCATATTTGGGTTTCTCACAAACTGGATATGGTCTTTGAAAACAAGATATGGTGTTTACATGATCAAACACAAACGGGATACTCCAAAAACCTGATCATAAACAGGTTGTCCATGTTGATGTATACACACTCACTATCTCATAACAGAAAGACTACTTCATAAATTGTTAGTTTAAAAGATTAGGAATGAACTGTCAAACCAAAGGTGGAAAAGTAACTAAAATACTTACTCATGTACTTCACTTTAGTTGAATTTTGAGGTACTTGTGCCAATACTTTTGGACTTTCACTTAAGTAGAAATCTAAATGCATATTTTTTACTTGTAACAAAGTATTTTTACATTCCGATATTGCTACTCTTACTTAAGTACCAGATCGCTGTACTTCTCCCCCCCCCTTCTGAATAAAACAAAAGGAGGTGTTCATAATTAAGCTTCCATATCTACAGTCCCCTGACAAATGAACAAACTACATGTGCTGATGAGGACTCTGTGATGTGGTCAAAAGCTCCAGAACAAGCAAGTCAGCTGACCTTGAGTTCATAGTGTCAAACGAAAGGTTTAAGGTTCAAATCATAAGACACACACTATTTACCTGTTATCTGCTGTAGATTTAGATATGAACACAATACAGCTGCTAATTTTTCATCAACCATAAAATACATTTATCAACTTCTGTAGGAAAAACAAAAACTTTTAACCAGTGTGTTCTGTTTTTTTTTTTGTTAAGTCAAATATTTGTTCACAAAACTGCAAAGCAAAGTAGTCTAGCTCAAACAATTCAGAAACAAATAATTTACTCAGGATTCTTAGAACATCCTCATATATCTTAATTTTGCTATTAATTAAGAAATAGTATGTTAGTTTGATTTCTAAGTTGTTAAATTAATTGTTGTAACAGATATTCGTGGTGTCATTTTTAGGTGCAAACACTGCATGTGTGCTGTGTGTGTGGGAGGTTGCCATGAAAAGAAAATCACTGTGAAAGAGTGCTGCTGTGGTTTTAACAGTCTGGAAACCACTGCTGTAGACGTCTAACTTCCCTAACAGCTAAAACTCTTTATCACTATGTCAACAATATTTCCTCCCCATGCATAACTCCCACAGAAACAAATTAGCCGTAAAACTATAGTACAATGTAAACAAAGACAAGCAGTCACTTAAATGTAATGAGCCCCCAGGTGGAAATTCATTTTGTTTGATGATTTTAGCAATTTAGATAAATACATTTCCACATATTAGTGGTTCTGGCTGTGGCAGCAGCAACAGACACACAGCACATTGGGTGGGGGTTTGTGCTGTAATTAAAAGAGGCCTGGAGCTTCATCAGCCGTGTTCTCACCTTGCGGTTGGAGTAGCAAGGGCAGCGCTGCCCCCTACAGGTCAACACCGAGGGGTTCTGTGTGGCTCGGCCGCACTTGCAGCCCTTCTTCTCCACAGGCTTCTTATACAGTGGCTTCGAGGGGCTGGGTGGGTGTGTCAGGGGGTGAGCATGGGGGTGTGGGGGTACTCTGTCACGGGGTTGTGCACGGGGCTTGGGGGCCCCCTGCCTGGCCTTGGTGTAAGCCTTTTTGGGGCCCCCATGGTGCTCCACTGGCTTTTTCAACGCCTTGTTGGGGACGAGCACAGTCTTGCCCACCTTGGGGGGACCACCGTTAGGCACTGGGGCCAGGTGTGGGTGGGGCGTGGCTTGTGGGAACTTGGGCTCCTGTTTGGTGGTAGCACCGGGGTTAGGGTGATAGGGGGAGCTGTTGGCACCGAGGGGAGGACCTCGCAAGAGGCTAGAGATGGGAAGGGGCTGCACCTTTTCACTGTCGCTTTCTGAGCGGGAGCGTTTGCGGTGGTACCGAGGGGGGACACAGGGGATGACAGTGGAAGGCTGAGGGGGAGGTTGCAGTGAAGGCTGCGGGTGAGGTTGGAGTGGGCGAGGGCTGTTCCCTCGTGGGAGGGAGGGGATGAGGCGGGAGGAGTCAGGGCCAGGGCAGTGAGGCCCGTTGAGGCTGGACTGAGGTACAGAGGGGGGGCAGTCTGGCTGGGGGTTGGGGTCAGGGTCAGTGTCTGTCTCCAGAGTCCTGAGCACTTCCTCAACACTCAACAACAACGACCCCCCGCCATGTTTCAGGTCATCCCCAAAAGTGCTGATGTCACAAAGTCCTGCCTCCCCAGTCCCTGTGACGCTCACACACACTGGGATCTCCTCTGAGAAGCTCTCCTGCTTTGCAACACCTCCACTTGTTTCTATGGTGATGGGTTGCAGTGTGTCCGAACTGACCAGGCCGTTACAATCGTGCAGCCCGTTTACGCTGACAGGGCTTGGTTCCTCCACCTTGAGATCCTTTGTTAGTGGAGCTTCATCAGGCTGGACCACATCGGAGGAGGAGGCCGTCTGCGACAGGCTGACTGAATCTGAAATGTCCTCCGCCTCTGGCTCGCTCTCAGCCAGAGTGAGGCCCTCGTTGAGGATGGCCTGGAGGTCTGGTGAGTCGCTCGCTGCGCTGGCTATGTGTGGAGCGAGCGGCGACTGGGTAATGTAGAGGCAGAGCTTCCTGTAACAGTGGACAAGCAAGGAGAGCTGCCTGTTTTCCTCAAAGCGGGAATAGTCCTTACACCAACTACAGGATGGCTTCAGCTGCATCCTCTGACCCTTACAGCCTCGACAGACATAATGCTGACATGATGAGTCGGTGGGGGCGATGGGGTCCTGCAGCAAGTTACCTACAGATAATAGAAAGAGCAAATATAGAAGACATTAATACATTACACATTTCACAGGAACAGTGCAGAACAGCTCACACTGATGATTAATTCACAGACTTTCGCAGGCACCAGAAAAAGCAACACAGCTTGACATCATGATAAATATGGCAATAAAATTCTGATCTAACCAACAAATATGGCACATAACTGTCCAAACAAACCGATGATCTGATAAATTATGGCCATGGCTTTGGAAAGTGTCAGTGTAGTGAAAGAATAATTAGGATTTACAAATGATTGCTTCCTCTTTTGCTGTGTTTTTATAGCTTCCTAAAACAGTTTGTAAACCTAAGCAGTGCCTGGCAATCTGCCAGACTGGATGACAACCCCTCTTTGAGAGGAGCTTCCTTAGCAACGCTGGTCACTAGGGAGTGCAGCTGCAGATAGGAGAAAAAAAAGGATGAAGGTCCATTCATGAGAAACAACCAACCTTACACACTCTGCACTGCCTGTCTGATAAATCCCACGTAGCGGCAGAAAAATCTATATTTAACACAATGTATGGACTGCCTTGATATTGATTTATTATTTATGCAGTGGAGGTGGAGGTTATCTGGGAGTGCAATAAAGCTGCTCTCCTCAATAAAATCGCAGCAACACAAATATCTCCTTTACCTCATGAGATATTCCCTGTATAAGGAAGAGTTGCTACATATGCATAAGCAGTGAAAACCAGGCATCAGAGGTCAGATTTATTTTCCAACTGACATTAGCAGCCTATTTTATCCTGTACATTTAAAGCCATCGATATCTAACGCTGTGCACAAATTATATTAAGTACTGCAGTTTTTAAAATTTCTGTGCATATATTTTACTTTGATGTGTATTTGGGGATGAGGAGGGTGTGAAAGAGATTAGGTGCATAATATCCAGTATGTGGAGGGACTGTTATTCAACACGATAAACAGAGATACGCCCCGATGCTGCCAAATCGCACACAGAGGGGGGTGTGTCATGATGGGTGTATCTGAGACTTATGATGCGTTCACAGCGCGTTGGAAACAGCGCAGTTGAATTTCCAAAACACACCTGGTACGATTCTCAGACTTCACAGTGGTGGGAGAAATATCCAAATATTTTACTTATAAACACAGGTAAATATTTATAGCTATATGTACGTAAATATTAAAAATTAGTACTTATTATGCACACAGTTTTTTATTTATTATTATCGATGCATAACATTCATTGCAACTGGGTTTTTTTTTATTTTTATTTTCATGCACTTTGCAACTCTGTTAAGATAAATGCTATAAAAATAAAGTTATTACTAAAGTTATTACCTTGTAAATTATCCCTTACATATGAGTTACATTGTATTAAGTATTAGATTGTTATTTTAACAATCTATCTTATTTTGAATAACTTAAAATCACTTCTCATAGCCTATCTTGATTTGACTTCCATTTCTTATATATTGTCTTTTTCTCATTATTAAGTGTTTTATAGTATTTCATTCTCTGTACTTTGCCTGATTTTATTTAATTGTGCTGTTTTTTTTTTACATTATTAAACTTATTCCGTTATATTTTGAAGAAAACAAACAACACAGAAACCCAAGTGATACATACGTGTCAACTTGACACAAAACACATTTAAAATAAATAAAACACAAATCAAAAATGGGGGGGGGGGGTCCTCCTTAAGTAACTGTTTATATGTTTAAAACTTTATTTTCCAAAGTAAAGCTTTTCTTGATTTATTGAAAAGGGTCAACATCATATATATTTAATGATAAATATCAATTTGCAAATTAATCAGTACCTATGACTGATTTACCATACGAGTGATGAGAAATAAGCTGTACAATATACCCCTATGAAAATGTCAATATTAAAATAAGTACAAGTACCTTAAAATGAACCTAAGTGCAGCATTTTAGGTTGTTTCCTTCCCACCACTGCTTGGCTCATAATTTATTACGAGTGAGGGTTGAGATATTTCCGACTGTACCTGAAAGCAGCATTATTTAAAAGGTTCGCTCCCTTCGCGAGCACAGCTGACAACAACGCACGTTACCGACAACCTCTCCAAAAACACCCCTTTATACACTATACACATTGAGATAATAAAAAAAACCAAATGAAAACCACACACTTACCGCAAACCAAGCAGGACAGGGACTGACGGAAAAACGGTAGCAGCTTGCAGAGCTCCGCAAGGGCCCGGGGGTCTCGGGGGTCGCACTGCAGCACCGAACGGCTCGCGGACACGTAGAGAGAGGTCGCATTCACCGGGTTCATCTCAGCTGCCTGTCCCGGGGCTCCCGTCCGGTGCGGTCCGTTAAGATGTATTAATACGTTAAAACACCAAAGTCACACAAAAACACATACAAACTAAACGATGGCGGCGGCGGTAGACCAGCAACTCCTGGGTTCTGTCCGGTAAAATCACTGTTTTTTTCAACGGAGTCTGGTGGCTTTGAGGAGAGCATATGTGGATACAACTGCTTCAGTTCCCCGTCGGTAAATCCCACATATATAGCAGTCTGCGCAGGGAGCAATCGAGGTTACTCATCCCAAGTCACATCCAATCCATCCTCAATGTGATGTCCCAGCTCTGAATGCACTGCTGCGTTTGATCGGGAAGATTACAAGTGCATTGGCAAGCAGGCCGTGCATGCATATATATTCACCCAAGTCGGTTCTGTGTGAATCCATACAATCCGTGAGTTATGATTAGACAAAGCATCGTGTGGCGCTCTTTCCTCCGTCAGTGGCCTTTTAACGTTACTTACAGCTGGTTAGCTAGCAGCAGCAGCTCCGAAATTCAAACAGGGGCTTTCGTGACAAAGTGCTCCGGTTTGCAGTGGTTTCCCTTCGATAATTCCATAGTCCACATGCATGCTCGTCCCGGGTCTTCACGTCCGTCCAGCGCTAGTGTCACACAATGCATTTATTATCTCACACCGAGGCTGCCGTATCTCCTATTTGGCTCGGCAGTGCAGCCCCAGCAGGCTCGTTATGGTTGTGTTATTGTTCGCGGAGATTCAAGGCGGCTCGAAAACAAAACAGGCCGCCCCGGCTTCAAACGCTCCTCCTGGGCGACTAATACCGACAGCAGCACGTCGATATGAAGGGAAATGGGTGATGGAGACGTTGTGGTTATTAAAACAAAAATAATTTCCACCCAACGGCGCTTTTGTCGGTGTAAAGAAAAATAAACCAGCGGAAGCACCGGGCTCTGGTGACAGTGCTCGCCGTCTGAGCTGCACCGGGAAGCCGGCTACAAAAGCAGGCCGCTTCCCCTCTTCTCGGGATTAGCGGGGGTCTCTCGTTCTCGCTGCTCGCCTCGGTTGGAGTGTAACAGAATAACCGAGGGCTTTAGCCGAAATTATGTCCTCTTGCAGCTTTTGGTAGACCTCCAGAGTGTCAGAGAAGACCAAAAGTGAAATAAATCCCTATTTGTGCACGTTGCTATCGTTAGCCGCGGAGTATTCCTCATACCTCCTGTCGCTTTTCCACACATAAACAAGGGGGCGCTGTTTCCCAGATCTCGCGAGAATACACGGAACGCGGTTTATTTAAAAAAAAAAATAATGGAATGACATCGATGGTGGAAACGGTTTTTACAAGTCTTATATTTACCCAGATTTGTAATTTAATTAATAAACCCAATTAATCAACAAACCAAGTTTCAAAGAACAATAATACTAACTGTAATAAAAGCCATTTTTACAATGAGTAAACCAACACCAGTTTGAATGATACTCCTGGGACCAGAAAAAATAATTAAAATAACCTTCTTAAGGAAAATAAATCAAAATGGAGATATCTGTTTTTGACAAAGACCTTTGTTTATCTTAGAATTTCTTTTAAATGTTGAAATGTTATTTCATTTATTCACAGAAAAAAATAAATAAATAAATCTTCCTATGTTTAGGTAAATTTTATATTTATGAATGTTGTCAGTTTACAACTGACTTGGAACATTATTTTGAAGTACTACAGGGCCAAATTATGAATGAATGAATGAATGAATGAATGAATGAATAAGACAACATGGATTTACAATGGCATATTGTATTGTTCCCCTATCTTTCTTTGTTAGCCTCCATGTTTTTGCAAATGTTTGTATGAACCACCTTAACTTAAAAAAAGATATGATAGATTGAATTAATCTTATTAACTTAATGCATGTTACACAGGCATAAATTCATTTATAATTTCACAAAAACAGCCCAGTTTGTGTTCATAATCAACTTGTTAAAATGATTGTCAGAGTTTAACTGCTTTTTTTGTTGTTACACAATAACTTTCCATTTAGAAATAGCTACTAGTTCACACTCATTTATGAATGTAATATATGAGGCATTCCTCAGTCACTGTTTCACTGACCTGATGACTAATTTGGTATTAGATTGCAGTCATAGTTGAATTTTATTGCACGCTGGTTACCAGTATTTCATGTCAAGGCTTTAAGAGTCACAAGGTCAAATATGGAGCTTTTCTCATGAATTTAAGGAGAAAATAATTGCATCATGCAGTTAGTTTCGCAACTGTCAGAGTAGAAACAGTTTCACAATCTTTCAATCGACTTGTAAAACATCTTCAACAAAACCAAACACGTAAAGCAGTTCTTTATTCAATAACACTTTAAATTAAATTGGGGAACTGACATTTGTTACTGATGAATATATATTACTCATGATTATGATTTTTTGGGCACCTTAATTTTATTCTAAAATTGAATAATTGCATATGTATGCCCACAGGGATTAATAAAGGCTCTGCTCCTAAATTATTACTGTGTATAAACCCTTTTACACTCCCTCTACAAGGCAGGAATTTCACACCATTATTCCATCTCGCCGTGCTGTGTAAAATGGTACAATCTCAGAATGAGGGTGGTGGTGGTGGTGGCAGAGTTGTCTTGCCTTTTAGCTGGCATCAGAGGTAGGAACGGTGCCAAAATAACCTCTGTATAAACGGGACAGCCAGCAGGATGGGATCACATTTTGACAACATGTTATGCATGACACCCACTGCCAGGAGATTTAAATAGTAGCTAGCAGTTAGCAACTAACTAATAAAAAGAACAGCAGCTGAAAATGTATGCAAATTGGGAAAACACTGAGGTCCAGGAAGTTCCTTACCACCCATGCAGGGGACGAGATCAACCGCCATATAACAGGGATGGCAAATGATTGTTAGTGCCTTGTTAATACAATTGCTATTGTTTATAAAGTACTGCTGACACGTATATGTCACACAAGAGGTGGGTCGCATTTGTGTGACATGTCATGCCCGTCTCGCCAGCATGCTGTCTAAAATCATACACTGGAACAGCATTATGCTGCTGTTGTTTGGTTCTGAGAAAAAAAAGAAAGAAAAAAAGCGGTATAAAGAAGGGACTTGTTAGCGGCCCTAGTGTGCTCTCTGTGTAAGAAGGGCTGATGTGTCATATTGCTGCACCTATTTCAGCAGGTCTTTTTCACAGCAGACACTTTGAGTTGTTGGTGTCATTAATAATATAACAGCTGTGGTCTTTTAAAGTGTTTCAGTACAGTACCTGGACGCTGAAACTGAAGCAGCTAAATAGAAATCAGCTATCATTAATTTTATCATTAACACATGATTTTCCGACTGTGACAAGTCAAAAGTGTCTTTTGTGAAAAAGGTTTATTTGTGAAAACTCATTGTGCTTGCTCAGTTTGTAAAGTTTCAGTGTTGATGCTTCAGTGATGCATGTTTTCAGTAGCCAGGATCTTAGCAATACTGTGGCTAAGAATTTTTGACAAGACACCAACCGAACCCTGTACGTTTTTCTGAGTATTTTAGGAAATCACAATATTGTACATCTAATCTTTTCCTTTGACTGTTTAATTATATTTTCTGTACATTGTGGGCCCTATCTTACTCCAAGCGTACATTGTCAGTTTTAGTCATTTTAACAGCCAGCGCCCACGCTGTGTAAGAAGCAAATGTATTTCTGCCCATCTGTGCACCCTAAACTAGCAAACTGGAGTTGGACATGCCCTAAAGGCACTTGCAACTTTAGACCATGTAGCCTAGATAGTTTAAATAGGGCCAAATATCTTTTTCTACTGTATGTTGGTCCAAAGTAATGTCATTGTGGTGAATACTAAATTAGTTTAATTTTTATTTTCTTGCCTAAAAACAGTGAATTGTTTTGAATCAGCCTTAAAAACCCAACATGAGCCAACACACATACATGTGTAATAATAGAATGTAAACCCCCCAATTTCCAGAAATATTACAGAGGACATGACCTCTTTTGTTAGCAACAGTCCTGCTTATTCCTGTATGTTTAAATGTGTGGTGATAACGTTGTGCAGTTCAGAGATGAAAACGCTATGCGGTGCTGTCTAAGTACGAGTAGGGTGAATCAAGACAGGGCAAAAAGGGAAGAGAGAACTCATCATGGAAGTCTTTTGCAATTTCTGTTTATCTGTAAAAATAATTACAAACCAACACCCCCGTAAAGACAAGCTGATAAGTAGGCTGACACATTTGTATGATGCAAACACTCTGATACAATCTATCAATGCGCCACCTCGCCCTCGTCTTCTTATTTCTTCCTCTTTCCTTTGTTTCGCTCTATCTTGCACTTACTGTTCACACATGAGGCCACTGACCACATGGGACTTTCCACTTTGGGCATTGTGTTGAGGGGCAAAAATATCTCACATTGTCAACTATATCATGTTTTTGCCTTCAGTTAGAGCTGCAGTCAATTAATCAATTACCTGATTGACAGATAATTATTTCTGAACTATTATGATAACTGATTAATTGTTTCAGTCACTTCTCAGCGAAAAGTAGCTCAGTGGTTAGAGCAGGTGTCCAGAAACCCCCCAAAATAACCCCAACAAAGGATCTGCTGCATTTTTGTTCATATATGACAGAAAAATAAATATCAGTAAGTTTCTAACTGTTGGTCATCAATGTGGTACTGTTGTCAAAAATATTGATTTATCGCTACAAAATGACTGAAAATTTGAAACAGTTTTCATACTAATTTTCCAGTTTTGATACACTGATACCAGCCGCACTTTCTTGCTCCCTCTTATTGTTAATGTTTACTACAATAATTGCGCTGTTCTCTGCTACTAACCAAGAAAAGAAAAGTCACTGTTGTCATGTTGTAATAATTATATAAGTTATATTAATCTTTGAAAATAAATAAATAAATCTTGTATGCCCTCGATTTCAATTTCTTTCCCCACATATCTCAAATGGTATAAAACATTGATATTTTTGAAGGTATTGTAGTGAAGTCAGAAATTCCAGTATCATGGCAACACTACACTGTGGGCTTGGAGAACCTGCAAATGATTAATTGACTAATGGGAAAAATGATTAGCAGATTAATCACTATGAAAGCAATTGTTAGTTGCTATTAGTTGAAACATTTTTTCAATTGTTAGTTGAAAAAAATACTTTTCCCAAAGATCCTAGTAATTTTATTTCATTTAATCACACTGAAGTTAAAAATACATATTTAGCAGTAGTAAAGTAGCAGTAAGTAAAGTCACAGTCCCACTAACTAAAGTCTTTGAAGCTACTCACTTAAGGAGACTCAGGAATATGAAGGGCATGTCAGGCTTACAACCAGGTTTTTGATGGTGAGCATTTTAAAGGGGCTCTATGCAAAATTCGGAGTGCATGAGTTGCCTGCACACAGTTTCAACAAGGAGGTGGCTAAGCTGGCAGCTAGTAGCTAGTAGCTAATGTTGCCAACTCCATAAACTGGGCTAAACAATGGCAACAATTCTGACACGGCTAACTGTGATAACCGGGTGGAACCAGAGGGTTGGTGCTACACTTCTGCTACAAGACTGTCCTGATTTCAGCAGTAACCACTGTATGAGTGCAGTGCAAGGTGGCACTACCATGCAAGTGCAGCTGGACCAGCTTACCACAACAAACCACAGAGAAACTCAGGTTACAACACACACAGAGTGAGCATGACTTCATTCTCTGCTCAGGCGTCATTATACCACTATATCTTTACACAGCAAATAGTGGTTTGCTGCTATATTAATTCTCAAAATGTGGCATACAAAACTTTTAATAGTGCAGTAATATTTTTCACTTTTCTTGCAGCCAACTTTTCAGTTTAGACATAAATGAGATCTTGAATAGAATTTTAAGTAAAGTTCTGAGAGTTCAGATTGTGACCGGTGGTACAAAATGTATTTCAGATAATTTCATATCAGAACTGAAAACTAAAGCTTTTACTGACCTTTCTAATGTCACAGCAGCACACAAATCATACAAAATGTTTGCATGTGTTACAGTAGAAAAACATAAAATTTAACTGTACTGTCAGGCTTTTTAGTGTATTTAAAAGTTCAGTATGTAAAATTTAGAGATTAAGTGGCGTCTAGCAGTGAGGATTGCAGATTACAATCAGCTAAAACTTCTCCAGGTTAGAATTCCTTCAGTATTAATTGCTTAGGAGGTTTTTACCAGGAGCTGTATCATTAACAGAAGTCTCTTT